AAGTTGTATAATAACCTTTAGTATAAAGTTTTTGTTTCACTATAGTTTTAAACCTCGTGAAAGGCAAATTTTGTATATCAACCGGAATCTTGTTATAGAAGCGTATATATTGCCCCTTAAATGATTGTTTGACTTTGTGAAGACGACTATCAAGAACAGCCAGTTTATTTTTATTCCTCGTATTAATGTTATGTCTGTCACTATTTTTCATAAAGAAATTACTATTCCTTTTAACATAAATTATATTTTCATAAATGTATTGTGAGGCTAGTGTAAGAATGTTAATTTCCTTAAACTTATCTCTCAAAGATACTTTGGGGCCCAGATTGTAAATTGCCCTAACTGCACGTTTCTGCAGGACAAAGATTCTGTTGATATCGGCGGCATTACCCCAAAGCAAAATGCCGTATGTCATTAGACTGTGAAAGTAGCTGAAGTAAACCAATCTAGCGGTTTCGACGTCTGAAGTTGACAAGTCAGACGTGTCTGTAATTTCTCCAGCATCATTACCCTTCAAAACCGGAAAGCAGTAATGCTTACTTTACTGTTGGGTGGCAGAAGTAGATAAGGTGGCAATAATTCCCTGGGCAAACTCTTTCACAAGGAGATTTAATGTTACCTTTGTCAATTTTGTTTTGTTATTGTTGTGCAAATAATTTCAAAAGCTTTTATGTATGAAAACGACGACCAACTGAAAATTGCTCGCGGCGGCAGCCGTTAAAATGATGAAGTGAAAATGTTATATACAATTGTGTAATAGTTTTTTTCAAACCTGTCTCCATAAAAAAATATCGACTACAATATGTTTTACAGACTTCTCGTGTAATTTTCGACACGTTATAGTTATCGAGTGGTTTTAAACATCTGCCCCCGTGATAATAGACACTAGGGAGCGGCGCACAAATCATTTGTAACCATTGTGCAGGGGCATAAAGTCGTCACGGGGTCGTGTAGGCGTTGCGCCGGGGACCGGCCGACGCCGACGTAGCTCCCTAGAGACGAATTACACATTTTTATCGTAATCTGTAACAATTTATTAATATTTGATCAAGAATGCCGCTATAATGCTGTAAATATGTTTGTGCATTGACATATTTATTACTAACTTACTTTTGTGGATATTTTGTTTGACAACCTCAGATGGTTTGCACTGTGGGCGCTGGATGAGGTTTGATTGGAAATGACCTTTTTTTTTGATTCTGGTCTGGGTGTTCTGAGTGTGAATTTCGTTGCTTTGATTTTTTTCATAATGGCAAGTGACGGGATGAACAAATCGTGTTTCTGGTAAGCGACGCGACACTTGCAGTGCCACTCAGAGCTTTAAATAGCAAAGACCTTACCGGCACTGCCACGGCGCCCGTCACCCTGAGACATAAGTTGACAAATCCAATGTGCCTGTAATTTCACCCTTCAGAACCGGAATGTTGTACCTAATGTTCACGTTACTATGGACAAGTCTAAGCGACGTCTTGTAAAACATGACTTTAATCCATTATCAGACGCAGCTATTTTTGTATAAATTTGTAATAATACGTACCTACCTATTACTAATGTCACAGATTCTAATTTTCTTAAACTGTAGGTGTTTTTTTCCTGAATTAGGAAACTTAAAAAACCCCTGAGCAACCGTCGGAATGTATATAGTTAATGTTTACAGTGGGGGATGTTGTGTTGAATAAACCAATACTAATTGATTATGAACCGACACATACAAATTGTCCTAAACAACGCGATAATTTGAATTTATAACCAACGATATCTGTGTACTAGCGTACTAGATGCGGCGTTGCATACACACGCTGTGTTTCACAGATGTGCGGTGAAGATACAATACTTTAATATCATAAATTAATAGGCAACAGAGTGTTCTGACTGCACCATAACAGAGCAGCGATCATATGAATAAAATAGTTAATATGGTTACCAATATAAAAGAAATTAGGCTGCATGGTCTACTGCTGCGTTCCAATTTGGAATGGTGCTGGTGAAATTACTTATGTCACAGGGTAACAGGCGCAGGTGCCAGTGCCCGTCAGATCTTTGCGACTTAAAGTTCTGAGTGGCACTGCAAGTGTTATGGACAGGCGTGTCGCTTACCAACAGACGCACGACTAATTCGTTCCGTCAATTGGTATTATACAAAATATATATTTTTTTAACCCCCGACGCAAAAAGAGGGAAACTACAAGTTTGAAATCTTTGTCTGTGTGTTTGCAAGTGAATGGATGAATTGAGATCAATGGACCTTAGCTATGTCTTGATGGACACCTGTTCCGCTGTTTAAAAATCATCTGCTCTTTTCCCAGTTAGTGTTGATCATTTTCGGCCTTGGCCCCTAGCCTATACTTCATTCATCTTCTTAATTTTGGTTTCACTTTTCATATAGATTTTCAATCATCAATAGTGGAAATGATGTAAGTAAATGGCTTTATAAGCTTTTTCGTTCTCTAGTAAAGGTGGCAGGAGGCGGGGAATGTCTTCTTCTTCATAGATCTTAATTAGTGCATATACTTGCAACAACCAAGAAAGCAAAGAAAGAAAGAAAGCCGCCTACGTTGGTACGGCCACATATTACGGAAACCGGCATGCTACGTAGGAAACAAATGTCTGGCTATGCCACCTCCGCCGGGCCCCGGTAGAAGGGGCAGACCCAAGAAGTGCTTGACGTCGCCAAGGGTGATATGCGTGCCAATGGTCTCACCACTAAGGATGCCGAAGACCGTGCAAAGTGGAGGAGATAAAGCAGGAAAACACTGCTGAGGACGCAACCGGGACAACGCTCAGATGAGAGAGAGAGAGAGATACTTGCAACAACCTTAAGAAAAGTAGTAACAGACGTAATATTAATACGAGGGATAAAAATAAACTAGCTGTTCTTGCCAATCGTCTTCACTAACACGTACACGCTTAGAAAAAATCTTTCGATACGCCTGTATTCGAACCAATGTCTTCCAACCAACAGTGTCAGATGCTAAGCATCGGAACGAATTAGCGAACCTTAAGAATTTTTCTATGTGCTTGTTGCACTTTATGTGTTATTGTTTCCAAATCCCTTTGTTTCTCAAACACGATTCTTATTATGATTAACATAAACGCAACTGGCGTAGCACACCGAGGCAATTCGCAATTTTCGCATTGGATAACAAGTCAAGAGCCTAAACAACAAAAGGAGGCGTCAGTGAAGCGTGCGAAGCGATAATGGCTCGCTGTAACACCCCTGCGATAATCATCAAAATATTGCATCACTTACCGATATATTGTAAATGTCAATCAAAGAATTAAGCTCGTATTGTCGTGTCGCGCTCGGCGCGTGTCGGCCGCGCGTCGGGCGTCGGCCCAACGATCGCGTGCGCCGTTTTAGGGGCGCATTGTTTTCATTTTTACGCATATAAAAAGTTAGTCACGACATTTTTTCACTTTTATTACGTACGTGAATGCAGTGGTTACGTTTACTCGCACAAGTATACGATTTAGGCGTAATTTTACAATAATTTAGCAAGTGGAGGTCCATAGTCTCTGCCTACCCCGGTGGGAGACAGGCGTATGTATAATTTGAGAAATTTATAACGTTTCGAATTCCAAGAACTAAGGTCCAAGACTGGGCAGGATATATTGCGAGGCATGGTCATGCAAAATGGAGTACCTAAAGCGTTAACCGAATGGTGGCCAAGAAGGGGATAAGTGGTAAGATCGTGTTGGATATCACAAACTATGGAAAGTAGTGGATTTCCTATACTTAAGTAGTATAGTGTCTCTCAGGTCTTTACGATTTTAAGGTCTCAGTGGCTCTGCAACTGTTATGGACTGGCGTGTCGCTTACCAACAGGCGCACGACTTATTCGCCCCGACACTTAGTGTCATAAAAAAACCTTGCATAATATGAAGTTTTGGTATTTGCATAACAGATTGAAATTAAATTCATCAATTCAGTTAATAAAAATTTTGATTGAATGATCGTTTTTATTTTATAAACATTTTTCCTAACCACATTTCTTAAAAAAAAATCTGATTATTGTCCAATTGCTCTTTTAGGTTGAATGTCATCAATTTATAAATAAAATGTATAAGTTAATTAAGGTAAAATCACAGTGAATTAATAAAATAATAGAATGTTACAAACGTGAGTACAAAATATAAGATCAAAAAGTATAAGTCTAGAATAGAATAACAATTTCAATATTAATTTAATTTAAAATTATTTTACGGATGCCTTATTCTGTAACTAGCAATTGCCGTACTATGGTAATATGTTAAGAAGAAATATAACTATTTTGTTTAAACTTTTCGCTATTTATTTTTAATCATACAGAAATTTCAGAGGGAATATTATCCATTGTATGTGTATTGCCCATTTCGATCTCTGTTTAATGTACTATATTTCATTACAAATCCATGGCTAAAAATGCGTACAGGAAGCTTGACATCCTTTGCAATGTGAAGCGTTACTTCACACCGGGACAGTACATCTGCCACCTTTGGGGTGGCTCTGCTACGTACCAACTGGCTACCTTGTATTCAATAGACAAGTGTGCGAAAAGGCTTATAGGTGGCTCGGAATTAGTAGATGCGAAGCTGCAGAGCCTTGAACACCCCCGTGAAGTTACCTGTTTATCGCTTATAATTTCACAAGAGAGGAATTACACGACTTAATTGCGCCTTCCCCTTTCCGTCATCGAGGGACTAGACGTAGGCTGGGATTCCACCCCTATGTTGTGGATATTCCAGAGATTCTTATGGCGAATGGAGTGGAATTTCCCGCCTGCAGACTTGTTTCCTGAACGTTATAACTTGGACCTTTTCAAGGCGAGATCGAATAGGTATTATTTAGGTGTGTATGCTCCATCGTCGAGCTCATCGTCACTTTCTATCAGGTGAGATGGAGGTCACATGCGCAGGAACTTATATTTGTATAAAAAAAACATTAACTATGTATTTGTGTTGTCCGTTTTACTTTCCGTGTGAGTAACAGCTGGACTTTTAATAAGGTAATAGCTGCTTACCTTGTGAACCCTGTGACGTTGCATGTGCGGACCATGTACTTTTGTAGGAAGCATCTGAAAAGAACAATATCGTTAAAATGACATTTAAACTACTGTCTAATGTTAATATTGGGTAGTGCTTCATTGTAAATTCCGTTACTTCAGGTAGCACATGCAGTGGGTTTCGTAACCCATGAGCTTAATGTATTTTTTAATGTCGAAATGGATATATGTTACTTGTAGCTTGTAAATCCTGACTTTACTTTTGTTAAGGAAATAATAATAACAATAACGCACACACTCAACATAATCCAGCTCTAGGGAAACCCTGTGTCGCGGGTGCCATAGACAGATACATAGAACACCACAAAATAACACCAAAATTCACGAGAGAAATAAATGTAGGTCGTACAAATATTTCTTCCGGCCAGGGAATCGAACCGGCGACCTCTGTATGGCACTCAAATAAATATATCTCTATTGAGATCTTCCGTTTTAACGTTGAACAAACTCACGTCCTTAATCTGCGAATATACTCTGCGGTGGAATTTGTGATCAAAAATGTAAACAAAGGCGCCATTATATATATATATATATATATTAGAATTATTACCATTAAATTGATTACACTATCAAGTACGCGTAACATTTAGCTGTTATTATTAAATCACACATCTTCTTGTTCTTATTATCCCGATCTTAATTTGTAGCTTTTGATTCTCGGACTATCATATGCGGTTGATTAAGACCGCACGCGTATACTGCAAATATGCAGTCAATTTGTTAGCAATCTAAATCTATCTATATCTAATCTATTTGCGGACGATACAACCGTTATAGTGTGTGCTAAAACCTACAACGAGTTGGAAGAAAAATTAGCCTGCACGTATGAGCAGCTGTGTGAGTGGTTCTCTGCGAATGGACTTATTCTTAACGAATCGAAGTCAAACCTTATGTTGTTCTCAGGAAGAAATTCTATAACAAAGCCAATTATCACCTCCATTGTTCCATTATGTAACACCTGTAAATTATTGGGTTTAACGCTAGACTCAAATTTGAACTGGAAGTCACATATACAAACTCTATGTCAAAAACTTGGAAGTGCTGCATACGCACTGAGGAAACTGCGTCCTCTTGTCTCCAATGTGGTATTGAAACAGACGTATTATGCATATTTTCATTCGTTGATGTCTTATGGCATCACACTGTGGGGTAATTCAACTGAGTCGATTAGGGTATTTATTCTTCAAAAACGTGCACTAAGAACAATAGTAGGCATAAAAAAGGGTCAGACCTGCAGAAACCTTTTTAAGAAATACAGTATAATGACCATGTACTCACAATATATTTATGATATAATAGTTTATGCGCGTAAAAACTTGGCTACTTATGAGCGATGTACGGGCGGAGGCCGAGCGTTACGAAACGCGGGAACACTAAAATCCGTTGCCCACCGTACCGAACTTGCAACTAGAAATCCGCGGGTAATAGGTCCCCGATTCTACGAACATCTACCCAGAGACCTGAAAAGTGTTACAAACGATGAAACGTTTTGTACCCGACTAAAAATCCTTTTATTGGATATTGAATTCTACAGTGTCGATGAGTTTCTTTTGAAACAATTTTAATTTTATTTTATTCGACAAGCAGTAGTTATACTACTTTATTTTATATTCATTATTATTATTATAATCTTATTACTGACGATCATAGTTATCCCTTGACATTGTATTTCCATTTGAAATATTGTGACATTGATAACATGAAATAAACGATTCTATTCTATTCTAAATAGTGTAGTTTTTTTTATAATATGAAGTGACGGGACGCACAAGTCATGCGCCTGATGGTAAGTAGTAAAGCTTTAAATCGCAAAGATCTGAGGGGTACTGCAACCGCGCGTCACTCTGAAATTTAAGTTGTAAAATTCCATGTGCCTGTAATTTCACCAGGACCTTTACCCTTGACAATCGGAACACAGTAATGCTGACATTACTGCTTGGCGGTAGAAATATGTAAGGTGGCAGTACTTATCTAGACGTACTCTTTCACAAGAAGCTCTACTGCTGCATACGACATTTAAAACATTTGTTGCTTAAATCTATGTCGAGATAGTATCAGAACAAAGTACTAAAAAAGACATCCTCAAAAGTTATCCATTCCCTAATTTAGAGGTGGATTATTTTCTTCAAATTTATAAGGGACCACTCCTGAGTCGTTCTAACAAAAAAGGAATCACCAATATCGGTTCACGTATGCCGAGTTATTGCGTTACATATATACATTTTTATGATTATTTTCAATAAATAAATTACCAAATAAATTAAATTTTTATTGAATTGATATTCAATTTTTTTTGTGACATTACTCCACTAGTTTGTTATAATTATTAATACAAAGATCGAACACTCAGAAAAAATTCCTTTCAGATTCAGATTCAGATTTATGACCCTGTCTGTCATAGATTTCTCATAGATGGCGCTACGACTAAAAAGTCGTTGAAAGACCAAGTACAAAGACACGACGCAAGCACATAGAAAAATTCGTGAGGTCCGTTGATTCGTTCCGTGGCTTAGTTGGTATAGCGTCTAGCACGGTATGCAAGAAGACGTCGGTTCGAATCCGACCGGATCGAAGGAATTTTTTCTGAGTGTTCGATCTTTGTATTAATAATTTTACCAATTCAAGTTAAATGGTTACAATGGGTACCAGTACCAGCAGTCCGAAATTTTCAAACCACGAAGGTAATTTTGAGATGAAAATGTTTTTTCTTTTAAACCTAATTTAATCTAACCTAACCGAACCTAATGGTGTCTTTGTGATAAATATCTAACATATCCTGAAAGAACAACTGTTTCGTTATAATTCGATTTTCGGTGTAATGAAAATTCGAAAATACGTTATTTCGGAAAAAAATCGAGTGTGTGATAGGTTACCATTACAAGGACATACCCTTAAATTAAAATTGCCTCTATAGTATTAAAGAACACTTAGAATTTATTAACATTAACTTTACTGGCTTCGTGGCTGAACGGTTACCATCCTGGACTTTACTATCTAAGGTCACTCCTAAAAAGACAGCTTTATTGACAAGGTCTAACTTTTCTCGATTCATTTCTATGATTGGACTAGTCGATTTTACATTAGGTAATTCAAATTTAACACACTTTGTCTTCTTGGCATTGAGCAATAAATTATTAAATCAATAAACTACCTTTGAGAGGGTATCGTTAATATTGTCATAGTTGACGTCATGTCTGTCCGTTTTAAAAATCAAGGATGTGTCGTCAGCAAACAACCTATTTCCCAAAGCAAACAAAAACATTGCTTTCTGCGCATACTGGAAATACATCTTGTTGTTTGCATTAATAATAATTTTTTGCAGAATAGGACAATAATAATGACGCACGCACACGCATAGCCCCGCACTGGGGAAACCCTGAATCGCGGACACACACATAGAAAACAACAAATTACACCCAAACTCACGAGAGCAATAAATGTAGGCCGTACAAATATTTCCACCGACCCGGGAATGGAACTCGGGACTTCTGCATGGCAGGCCAACGTGGTAACCGTTCGGCCACGGAGGCAGTTTAACTGCAGAGTATCTGTAGCAGTCGTCGATTAATCCAATTGACAGGCCTAATCACAATTGCTATAGGATCTCATATTAGGCCCCCTGATTTACAACTCACTAATGTAATATGCAGTGTTCAAAAACTCTGTCAGATCCCTCTCGTATGCCAATTATAGTAATGGTCAGTGGCGGATTTGCCCTAAGGCCACCCTAGGTCTGGGCCTAGGGTGGGCCTAGGGGTTAGGTTTTGGGGGCGGCTAATCGTGACAATATTTTGTTTTAACACTGATGATCATCATGTCAGCCGGGCAATGATAACAAGAAATAACTCAAAGCACCTAAATATTTTAAAGGCTCACGCACATTATGGCGGGCCGCACTGCACCGCATCGATAGACGCTACTCCGACAATATGTTACATAGACATGACTTTACCCAGATATTACGCAACTTCGACAACAAAATCTTTGTATTCAGATAAGAGAAAAGGTCCCGTTTGATTCCCATTCTAGAAGAAATATTTGTATGGCCTACATTTATTTCTCTCGTGATTTTGTGGTGGTCTATGTGTGTGTTCATGGCACCCGCTACACAGAGATTCACTGGTGTAGATCGATTATGAGTGTGTGCGTTAAAAAATAAATAAACAAAATAACATTTGCACATGTGCTTGTAAGTTTAATACAATGTACCTTATTTTACTTTTTAGATCTGAACGAATTCTGCTTTCTGGCGAATAAACGAATTTTATTCTATGCAATAATCTCTAGCTGAAGTTAATAGAATATGCCTTATTCTGTATTTGTTTTTGTTTTTATTTTGTGTTTTTTTTAAACGGGCCATTCTGTGTTATAAAGCTACTCAAAAGTTTGTAATGTATAAAATATATTACAAACTTTTGAGTAGCTTTATAACCCAGACCATATAAATAACAGAAACAAAACAGACAGTAGACACACCTATCCGTCTCTAGACATTCCCGACTTACGTTACATTGCACCTGTTTTTATCAGCATTTATGTAGTTGTGTAAGATTTACATTCTTACTGAATAGTTCTAGTATGTTTGCTTACAAGCCTCGTAGAAGCAGCAGAAGGAAGCGGTGACCACAAAGCTGGCAGTTATTTCCGCCAAAGAATAAGTTTAGCAATTCAAATGGGAAATGTTGCCAGCCTTCAGAGTGCTATGTCCCAGGGTACGGCTCTCGAGGAAATTTTGTATTTATAAATTTTCTTACTTGAAGTTTACTTACATTGTATTATTTTAATTATTATGACACCTTTATCGTCCTCCACTTATTATTATTTAAATTTTATTGCATGTTGATTTAACCACATCCGTGCAACGTCGAACAAGTTTGCCTATGGTAAATCAGCGTGGGGTATGCTCTGCCCCGTATGCTGAGGTGGTGACCTAAGGTAGGCGTCCACAGATCTGCAGCGCACGCATCGGACGAATCGCATTATGCGGATTTTAGTATTCTTTGCATAGAAGT